CATCACCGGTGACAATTCTGTCCAAAAATGGTTCACGCACATTACGCGCCAGAAGAGACGAAGCAACGTTCACACGTCAACTAAGCTAAACAACCTTGAATTAATTGAAAAAAAAAAATAATGGCAATACTTCGGTTATTTGGATAGTTGGAATAATTGGAAACAGCAATTTTGATTTGTTGGTTATATTTGAGACATTAATTGATTAAACGTAATTTCAATTAACTGATTATTTTACGTGGCACTAATTTATGCTCATAGGTGATCGAGTCAATCATTCAGCTCTGTGGTACTTTTACATACTTCTTTATGGTGTAACAATAGGCAGACACTAGATCTTTAAATTTAAGATAAATGTTTGTTTCATTTTCTTTGAATCACACAGAGACAATGGCTGAAAGAAGTTATGTGAAAATTAATCCCTCGACCAACAGATCAAAATTGTTCAGTAAAGGTAAAACGAACAGACAAAAAAGAAAGATTCAGTTTTGTTTCCTGTATCCAGTTTATGTGAAAACTAGCGAAAGTACCCGGCTTCGCTCGGGTTATTGGGTTGATAGTGTTTGTATTCTGAACCCATTTTACTTTTCTTGCGAAGCAACATTATACAGAAGCCATTATTGGAACGCATTGTTACTAAAACACATTGGCTTTTCTATGTATTAGAAGTTTTTATATAAGGAACCATTTCTTTTCTATCTGGTTTTTCACTAGCTTGTCTCATTAAAAAAAATGCGCGCACGCACGTGGATATGATAAGTAATAACACTCAGGGTCCACTTAGAATGTGTGCAAAATTTCAGGTTTCTAGGTTCTTTCCTCTTGGAGTTATGACAGTCACACCTACACAGACGCGCATGTGCACATGCACTACACACGTGCGTGTTTGGCTGTCTGTGATTTGTATTCCTAATATAAGGAACTGCTTCTTTTCTATGCGTTTTTTTGATACTTTGCCTCATTAAAAGGATATGTCAGGTGGTTACGGCACTCGACAATTAGGGGGTTGTGGGTTCGAATCCCCGTCACATCAAACATGCTTGCCCATTCAGCCGTGGGGCGTTATAATGTGTCAATCCCACTATTCGTTGGTAAAAGAGTAGCCCAAGAGTTGGCGGTGGGTGGTGATGACTAGCTGCCTTCCCTCTAGTCATACACCGCTAAATTAGGGACGGCTAGCGCAGATAGCCCTCGTGTAGCTTTGCGCGAAATTAAAAAAAAACAACATTAAAACGAAGTGCACGCACGTGGATAAAATAAGTTATAATACCCAGGTGCACACCCTCAGGGTCCACTTAGTAAACCTGTAAAATTTCAGGTTTCTAGATTCTTCCCTCTTGAAGCTATGGCAGTCACACCTACGCAGACATGACATGCACGTGTGTGTGTCTGGCTGTTTGTGATTTCTATTAATGATATAAGAAACCATTTCTTTTCTATTTGGTTTATCGCTAGCTTGCCTCATTAAAAAGATGTGTATGCGTGCAAGCAGGTGGATAAGTAATAATACCCAGATGCACACCCTCAGGGTCCACATAGTATGGTTGCAAAATTTCAGATTTCTAGGTTCTTTCTTCTTGGAGTTATGGTGGTCACATTTTTTTATATGTGGTTTTTCGCAAGTTTCCCTCATAAAATGATGCGTGCACGCACGTTGATAATTAATAATACCCAGTTGCACACCTTCAAGGTCCACTTAGTATGGGTGCAAAATTTCAGATTTCTAGGTTTGTTCCTCTTGGCAGTGCATCTGGGTATTACTTTTCCACGTGCGTGTGTGTGAGAAACTTTTCAATGAGGCAAGCTAGCGAAAGTACCCAGCTTTGAACGAGTTTTTAGGTTGATATATCTCTTTCAACCCGGGCTCGGTCCCAAGGACCAACCTCGTAACCATTTTGTGCTTGTTATAGTTTTATGCTATAACATTTAAATTACTAAGCAAATGTTAATAATGGCTGGAGATGGCTTGAATGGGTAATGAAGAAAAACTTTAATATAAGTTTAACATAACAGCAAATGTACAACGTTTCGACAAGGTTTTGTCATCATCAGGTACCAGTAAAGCAAACAATTATCTCTTTTAGTTACGACCGTTGTACTCAGTTGCTAACCCTTTAAAAATCTTGCAGGTGGAGGATATGAAACAAAATATTTTTTTTAGGTTTTATATATACTTTTGAATAACTAAAAAATCATAAATCACTACACCAATACCATAGAATTCTACTATAATTTATCAAACTTAGTAACCAAGCTGTATTTGTCTAAAAAAATATGAAATTTCGAGCAGACCATAGACAAAACCTACCTTATTGACATCTTGGTTCAAGAGAAAGAAATGGCATTAGGTACGTTAGCAAGGCTGAGAAAACCACTAGAGGGACATTCTGAGCTTCCGATTGGTTATTCATGTCATATATGGTAGAAAGTGTATATAAAAGAGCGTTTCCAAAAATGGAAAGAGATGAGCGGGGTACCACTGTGTTTGATTTATTATGTGAGCAATGTCTTAGCAAATAGAAAAGATAATACTTTCTTATTTTATATTCTAGCTTGTTAATATCTGTAATTTGAGTTTCTAATTCATGTGAAACTATAAGGTTAGTATTTTGACTTCACAAACATTTAATTTGAATCAGTGCTGCATTCATCATACCACGTGGCACACAAAAATCGATGATTATCTATTTTTTAATATATACTTTTAAATTAACAAATTGAGTAATGTATAGTCCTAAAATTTGAATTGTAATCTACAGTTTCATACCAAACTTATTTATATAAATTAATGAAATAGTAGTTCAATAAAATTTTTAATGCAAGTCAACAAACGAGATGACATGACCTTTCACCTGTGACTCATCTTGAAAAGGATATTCTAGATGATTATGTCAGTGTGTGTATTCTGAACCAATTTTAACATAAAAGTATAACCTATATACTTTTTTTGCAAAGCAACATGACATAAAAGCCATTGTTGGAATGCATTGTTACCAAAATGCACATGGATAAGTAATACCCAAGTGCACACCCTCAGGGTCCACTTAACATGGGTGCAAAATTTCAGGTTTCTAGGTTATTTTCTCTTAGAGCTAAGGCAGTCACACACAGGCACGCACGTACGTGCGTGCGTGTCTATCTGTCTGTGTTTTCTATTTGTAATATAAGGAACCACTTCTTTTCTATTTGTTTTTCGCTAGCTTGCCTCATTAAAAAGTTTCGCACGCGCGCGGATAAGATTAATAATACCCAGGTGCATACCCTCACGTGCCATTTAATATGGGTACAAAATTTCGGGTTTCTAGGTTCTTTCCTCTTGGTGCTATTGTGTTCATATATTATTTTCTATGTAGTTTTGCTAGCTTGCCTCATAAAAAGATGCACACGTGGATAAGTAATAATATTTAGGTGCACACCCTCAGGGTCCACTTAGTATGTGTGCAAATTTTCAGGTTTCTAGGTTTTTTTCCCCTTGGAGTTATGGCGGTCACATGCAAGCAGACTCACAGACACGTCCTTTTTATTATTATATATAGAATTTTTTTGCTACTGTAAAAGAGCTACCCATTCATAATTTTGTATCTGTGACATATCCAAAGCCAGTAGCAGGTTGGCTAAAATTGCCAGTTGGACATAAATCAGTCTGCAAAGTGATGGTAGGCTATGGGCTAAATCCTAAGTTTGTTTTTACAAATTGTATATGCTGATTCCAAAAAATAAAAATGTTTACATGGATTACACTGCACATTATATGGATATGAGACCTTTAATTAAATATGGCAAGTGCTAAAGTAACACAGAAGCATGAATTTGACTCATCTTTGATAATTATAACTTCACCTTTAATTAAGGAGTAATTAATTAATTAATTTTTTACACTAGTACAAGAATTCACGACTTATTATTCTATTATAAGCAGCCCCTAACATGCTTATCACTCCAAAATTAGTGAACGTTTATAACTAGCTTAGTTACTGTAATTAGTTTAGCCACAATATTCGGCTAAAGGTTTAAAATCTTTTCATTAGCACTGTTAATAAAATAAAATATACCTATATCGTAC